GTCAAGGCATTACCTTATCGCCAAGCCAAGACATTGTTATTCAATGGCACGAAGGTGAGGAGGCATTACCTTAAAGCTGAGGCGATGGCACTGTGGAAGGGCCGTTGACTCCTGAAAGGGGGAGGCGTGGGGCAAGGTGGTATGTGAGGTAGGCAGTTTGCGGGATAGGTGGCGGGTGAGGGAGGTGGTAGGGGGTGTGTAAGGTGGTATGTGGCAGGGAGGGTATGTCATGCGATGGCACTGGGGAAAGGCCCTTTGACTTCTGAAAGGAGGGGTCTTGGGAGTAAGGTGGTGCACGCGGGTAGGTGGTAGTATGTGGGACAGGTGGCATACATACACAGACGTGCGCTGCTGTACAGCGCATACATGTATGGTTGTGCGTAAGTACACATGTTTAGCATGGGCATGGCATACACAACAACGACTATTAAACTGTATAGTCCATAAGGCACTGACCTCCGAGCAAAGACAGGCAGAAAGGTGGGATGAGGGAAGAGTAGCTGAGCAGTCCCAAATCACTGTGCTCATATCGCTGCTATCGTGGCACTATACCGTTACCACTGGTGGCATGGTTACCAGCGCTACACTCTGACCTCCGAGCAGCAAAACACTGACCTCCGAGCAAAGACAGGCAGAAGGTGGGGATGAGGGCGGAGTAACTGGGAGAATAAGGGAGCATGGGACAAGGAATAGGGGGGAGAGACGACAACAAGGAAAGGAGGAGATGAGGAGAGTACAAGGGGGAGCGAGGGAGTCGAGAGCAACAGAAAGAATGACAAGACTGTGTGCAACCAGAGCCGCCCGAAAGCACCTGAAAAGCACCTGAGCCCACCTGAAAGCACCTGAGCCCACCTGAAAGCACCTGAGCCCACCTGAAAGCACCTGAGCGCACCTGAAAGCACCTGAGCACCTGAAAGCACCTGAGCCACCTGAAAGCACCTGAGCCCACCTGAAAGCACCTGAGCCCACCTGAAAGCACCTGAGCCCACCTGAAAGCACCTGAGCGCACCTGAAAGCACCTGAGCCCACCTGAAAGCACCTGAGCCCACCTGAAAGCACCTGAGCCCACCTGAAAGCACCTGAGCCCACCTGAAAGCACCTGAGCCCACCTGAAAGCACCTGAGCGCACCTGAAAGCACCTGAGCCCACCTGAAAGCACCTGAGCCCACCTGAAAGCACCTGAGCCCACCTGAAAGCACCTGAGCCACCTGAAAGCACCTGAGCCCACCTTAAAGCACCTGAGCCAACCTGAAAGCACCTGAGCGCACCTGAAAGCAGTCATGACTGGGCCAACGCCAAAAGCAGCAGCAAGCACCATTTCTCGAATCAAACCTGCAGCGGAAAAAAAACACCCCGGGAAAAGAGGGGGGAGAGGGGGGGCGGGGGGGGGGGAAATGGGGGAAGGGGGGGAAGGGGGGGGGAAGGGGGGAAGGGGGGGGAAGGGGGGGGAAGGGGGGGGACTGATACAGCACGCCGGGCTTCATGCAGTCATTGCTGGACCGACGCCAACGGCCGCAGCGAGCTCAGTTCTCGAATCAAACGTGCAGAGGCAGAAGCGGGGTTATCAGTATCACAAAGACACATCATGCATCATGCCCCGTGCCCCGTGCCCCGTGCCCCGTGCCCCGTGCCCCGTGCCCCGTGCCCCGTGCCCGTGCCCCGTGCCCCGTGCCCCGTGCCCCGTGCCCGTGCCCGTGCCCCGTGCCCCGTGCCCCGTGCCCCGTGCCCCGTGCCCCGTGCCCCGCCCCGTGCCCCGTGCCCCGTGCCCCGTGCCCCGTGCCCGTGCCCCGTGCCCGTGCCCCGTGCCCGTGCCCCGTGCCCCGTGCCCCGTGCCCCGTGCCCCGTGCCCCGTGCCCCGTGCCCGTGCCCCGTGCCCTGCCATGCCCCCTGCCCCCGTGCCCCGTGCCCCGTGCCCCGTGCCCCGTGCCCCGTGCCCCGTGCCCGTGCCCCGTGCCCCGTGCCCCGTGCCCCCGTGCCCCGTGCCCCGTGCCCCGTGCCCCGTGCCCCGTGCCCCCCCGTGCCCCGTGCCCCGTGCCCCGTGCCCCTGCCCCGTGCCCCGTGCCCCGTGCCCCGTGCCCCGTGCCCCGTGCCCCGTGCCCCGTGCCCCGTGCCCCGTGCCCCGTGCCCATGCCCCCTGCCCCCGTGCCCGTGCCCCGTGCCCCGTGCCCCCTGCCCCCTGCCCCCGTGCCCCGTGCCCCATGCCCCGTGCCCCGTGCCCATGCCCCGTGCCCCGTGCCCCGTGCCCCGTGCCCCGTGCCCCGTGCCCCGTGCCCCACCGGTCCTGACTCTTACCAGAATCTTGCTGGCTGCAGCAGCAATGACCGTGCTTGCCGCCCGGAGGAAGGAGACTGGGCCAACGGAGATATGCACAGAGGGGGATGGAGGGGGACAGGAGGATGGGAGAGAGGTGGGACAGGGAGGATGGGAGAGAGGTGGGACAGGGAGGATGGGAGAGAGGTGGGACAGGAGGATGGGAGAGAGGTGGGACAGGGAGGATGGGAGAGAGGTGGGACAGGGAGGATGGGAGAGAGGTGGGACAGGGAGGATGGGAGAGAGGTGGGACAGGGAGGATGGGAGAGAGGTGGGACAGGGAGGATGGGAGAGAGGTGGGACAGGGAGGATGGGAGAGAGGTGGGACAGGGAGGAATGGGAGAGAGGTGGGACAGGGGAGGATGGGAGAGAGGTGGGACAGGGAGGATGGGAGAGAGGGTGGGACAGGGAGGATGGGAGAGAGGTGGGACAGGGAGGAGGGAGAGGGGGACGGAGATGGAGAGGTGGACAGGGAGGATGGGAGAGAGGTGGGACAGGGAGGATGGGAGAGAGGTGGGACAGGGAGGAGTTGGCTTGTAAACCAGGGTGAGAGGTGGGGGCGGTGGGAAGAGGGGGGAGAGGAAGGGATGCGGGGTTGGGGGGAGGGGGATGAAGGGGAGGGGGGGTGGATGGGGGGGAGGGGGAAGGGGAAGGGGGAAGGGGGAAGAGGGAAGGGCGGAGTCGGCGGGAGGGTGGGGAGGGGAAGAGGATACGGGGGGAGTGGTTGAGTTGGGTTTGGGTGATAGAGACGGAGAAGATCGGTATGTCGTAGAGCACGGCGCGGAAGCGACGGGGTTTCCGGACGTCTCAAGGCGCGAGAGGGCGCTGCGCTCACCATCCTCGTCTCGAACCCCCACAGCCTCGCTCTCCCCCGCTCTGCTTTCTATGCTTTCTCCGCCGCCTCCCCCCCGCAGTTCCCGCCGCGATTCGCGCCACCAAGCGCGTTTTCCGCCCTCGGATCCCTCCTGTGCGCAACCTCTCTTCCCGCCCCCTCTCCGCCCGGTTCTCCCCTCCGCCAGCCCCCCATGACTAGCGCCCCTTGCACCTGCAGGCACCAACCACCGTCGGTCACGTGGCAGTCCTAAATTAGCTTGTCCACCCCGCGATAACCTGCTGCTAGCAGTGCCGCTGCCGCTGCTAGAGGAAAGGGGGCGGAGGGAAATAGGGATCGGGTGTGGGAGAGAAAGTGCTGCGGATGGAAAGGCGAGCAGACGACATTGCGCGCTGAGCGCGTCCTGTCCTGGGCCACAAAGAGCACGCTGATGTAGGGCTTGAAACTGCGTTATATAATTGGTATTAATCAACAATATTTGCTGACGTGCTCTCGTAGCTCAGTTGGTTAGAGCGTGTGGCTGTTAACCACAAGGTCGGTGGTTCAAGCCCACCTGGGAGCGAGTTAACAAACTAGTTATTTTCTTCTTGACGAGTCTCTGGCATAAACTTATTCCTCCCCATTGTTATCTCAACATCCACTGTCCTCTGAGCTTTCCCTTGGCCTTACTCCCCTTTCCCACACTCCTTAAAAACAGGTGTTGCATCGTCTAGAAGTGTACAGATTCCAACAAAGCAAACTTGGGTCTTTCCTTTTCCACAAAACATGGCATCAGCCTTGAATTGCGCGTGCGGGGCTGCCATGTTCAGCTGTCCACACCAAAAACCTCATCGTGGACGGGCTGCATCCTTCGCACTTGCACATAATTGACTGACTTGGAACTTGGAAGTCCTTTTCCTGCACCTTAGAACCAGTGTGGCGGTTCCGTTTCTAGTCCACCAACAGCTGTGGAAACTCACTGATACTGCTGCGTCTTCACATTGGATAGGAATATGTCCCTTCCTGGGGTGGCTAGGCACTGTTCCTTGGCAAAGCGACAGGATCTCACTCCTGCTTCTTGCTCATTCCTCTTTGGAATGGGTCGTTGTTCTTTTCCGTTTGCAGCTTCAGGCACTCTGCTGGGCCCCCCTTGCATCCCCCCCCCCCTCCCCCTCCCCCCCCACCTAACCCCACCTAACCCCCACCTAACCCCCACCTAACCCCCACCTAACCCCCACCACACCTCCCAACTCTTAGCACGGCCCTTCTAGTGTGTCACACACTGTTACCACATCCCATTCAGACCAGACAAAGAAGATAGTGAAGTTACGGAGAAAAACTGTCTAAGATACAGGACAGGGTGTAGAAGAGAGTAATACCACCACCCACCCAGTCCACGACTACCAGAACAAAAGTGTCAGCATGCCCGAGGACACACTCCGACCCGACACTACGGCTCAGCTCAGCTTGTGCCTCAGATTCAGCTGCAAGTCACCGAAGTGGTGGTGAGATTACTAGCCTCTACTTCGAATGCCAAGAGATGGCATTGCGTACGCGAGTATAGCGTATTCCCACAGTGTCGATAGCGTATTCGCTACTTCGCATGCGAGTGTAGCTTTTGTACGCAGTATTTGCATCTAGAGGATGCCATTAGGGAAACACAACAGCGTCCGTCGTATGAACTGCCAGTTTCTTCGACATGTAGAAAACGTCGCCGTTGACTATAGTGATTGTGTTCTAGCGCCGCCCTCCCTTGAAGCAGCGACGCGCTTCTTCGCATTCGGCTTCGACGCTTTCACGAGCACCAGGGGCTTTTTGTCGTCGCCAATGCGACGGTTTGCGACGGGCGTGTTGAGTCGCAGCAATCTGCAGCTGGCGAAAGGTGTACACGCCCTTGATCGCCTGGTAACCGACGATCGTCGCGAGCTGGCTCGCGCTGTAGCTCGTGAGTTTCACCTTATTGAGCGCCTTGTTACTCGTACGAGCAGCGTGAGAGGCTGCTGGAGCACGGAGCTGACCTCTTGCAGCTGGCCTGCCAGGGAACACAGGGACAGGGAAGAGAGAGTAGAGTGAAGAAGAAAGGAGCGGGAGGGAGAGTGAGGCGAGGGGCAGCAAGGTCTGGTAGTGGTGGTGGTGATAAACGAGTTTAGAGAAAGTTAAAGAAAGCGTGAATCCATGGCATGACTCGACTGGATGCGTTGCACAAAGAGACTAAGCCAAGCGTTACTCCATGGGCCCAAATTCTCTGCCATGGAGTCAACTCACCGTTATAGTTTGGCGAGGGATGCGAATTGCGTGTAACCCGTTTCGTTGAGCTTCTGCAACCGCTTTGAAGAAGGCGGTCAAGGAGCTATTCGTCTTCCCCGGATTCCCGGGATTCTTGGAGCCACCTCCCGCAATCTTTGCGCCAGTCCCAGGAGGAGTTTTACTACTACCAGTAGTAGATCCAGTAGGCGCACTCTTTGCTCCAGATTTAGAATTCTTGCTACTGGAACCCTGACTAGCGCCAGCAGCGCCGCTCTTGGCCGCGATCGACGCAGCACAAGATGTTAGGAACCAGGATGTAGCGAGCACGAGAAGCACGAGGCCTAGGAATCTCCGAGAAGCCATGGCACGCAGGGCGGACTGCTACGAGCAGCTTGGTCAAAGACTAGGTCGAGTTCGGGCTTCGTCTAGTAATATTCTAGGATTTTTCGGAGAACGGGTCCTAGCAGATCGGGATGTGCTAATCGCCGTAGAGCTCGTGAGCCTAGTCTCTGGAAGATGCCGAGGAGGAATGTGGGGAAACGGTCTCTTCTTATCGCTACTTCACTAAGGAGCTTGAGTATTGGTACTAGGAATTGATGCGTCCGTTGGCAGAGTGGTTGTGTTGTGTGATGAATGGGGAAAGGGGCGAAATGGGTGATATTTGTAGTGGGTGAAAGGGATGGAGAAGGGGAGGGTGCGACATTGTTGGTTGGTGGGGGTGGGGCAAAATTGGATTTGAAATTGGGAGATTTTGCTGGCGGTGGCGCCACGACTCGCGCACATTGGAGCGATGGAAGCGCGGTGCAGATCAGCGACGACTCGCAAATTTCTCAAACGTGATGGTGGTCCTGTCGCATGGTGCCTGCAGGCGACGGTTTTGGTCGCCAACAGGAGGGAGAAGTGACGGCGAAGAGAGCGAAATCTATGGTGCGGACGACTTCGACAGTCCACAACTCGGCTGCGAACAAGGCGGAAGGCACTGTTACAGTATTGGCGACAGAAACTAGGGGACGCATTGTCGGTTGGCGACTAACGCGAAAATTTGCACGACGATTTCGCGGTTTCGGTTCTCTGTCTCCATTACACGTCTGTTCGTTTTCAGTAACAGCAAGACGTCCTATAGATACCAATTGTGCATCTCTCCCTGATTCTCTGAAATGCGTTTTTCGTGCTCACCAAAAACACGCAAATCTGTAACCAGAACTGCAGAGGGGCATTCGCGATCGAATATTCGCGAAGCCATTCCTGATCACTCGATTAGAAAAGTGGCTTGAGCGTCGCTAGGGGGTTTAAGGTCAGGCTTTGGTCCAACCCAAAACCCGCCACCACGAAAACCACTCTTTCCCTCATTTTTCCCTCCTTCCTCCCACCTGTTTCTGCCTGCACTGTCAATTTTACCGGCTATTTGCGGTACGCTTCGCGTGGGGAAGTAGAGGCCGCTAGCGAGACTGCCAATGGCGGGGATCAAAGCCACTGCGGAGAAGAAGGGCAAGAAGAGAAAGGAGGAGAAGGCCGATGGGATGGAGACGACGAAGAAGGCTAAAAAGAATGTGACTAAAGGAGCGGATGCCGATAAGAAGGCGGAGGCATTATCTGCGCTGGCTGTGCCGCGCCAAGTACAGCTGAAGGCGAAGAAGGGAAAGGCTGCGGAGGACGCTGCGAAGGATGCGAAGAATGCTGCGAAGAATGCCGAAGAAAGCTGCGAAGGAAGTGAGCGAAACGAAGGAGGAGATTAAGGAGAAGAAAGAGACGAAGGAAGTAAAGAAGGAGAAGGGGAAGAAGGGGAAAGGAGACGAGGGAAGTTACGGAGACGGTAGAAACGAAGGAGACGAAGGAAGTAAAGAAGGGGAGAAAGGGGAAGGAGAGGAAGGTGGTGGTAGTGGAAAAGGTTGAGAAGAAGACGACCAAAGAAGTGGAGGCGGAGAGGAAGGGGAAGAAGGAGGCGGAGAAAGCAGCGAAGGAGGAGAAGAGTAAGGCAGTGACGGCCAAGGCGGTAGCTGCTGTGGGGACAGGCAAGACGGGGAAGAAAGAGGGGCTGAAGGGGAAGACGGGGAAGAAGGGGGGGAGAATGGGGAGGAAAAGGGGAAGGGTGGAAAGAAGGGGAAGAAGGGCAAAGTGCCTGTGAAGGAGGACAGCAGCGATGAGGAGATGCAGGACGCCAGTGAGGAGGAGAGTGAGGAGAGTGAGGAGGAGAGTGAGGAGGAGAGTGAGGAAGAGGTTACGGTGGTAAAAAAGGTGACGGCGAAAGAGGAGAGTAGCGATGAGGAGAGTGAGGAGGAGGAGGAGAGTGATGAGGAGGAGGAAAGTGAGGAGGAGGAGAGTGAGGAGGAGGAAGAAGACAAGAAGATTGTGAAAGAGGGAAGCAGTGAGGAGGAGGAGAGTGAAGAAGAGGAGGAGGAGGAGGAGGAGGAGGAGAGTGAGGACGAGGAGGAAGAAAAGAAAGTAGAGAAAAAGGAGGTAAGCAGTGAGGAGGAGAGTAGTGATGAAGAGGAGGAGGAGGAGAGTGAGGAGAAGGAGGTTGTGAAAAAGGGTGCAGCTAAGGAGGAGAGTAGTGGAGGAGGAAGAGGAGAGTGAAGAGGAGGAGAGTGAGGAAGAGGAGGAGGAGGAGGAAGAAAAGAAAATAGTGAAAAAGGAGGAAAGCAGTGAGGAAGAGAGTAGTGATGATGAGGAGGAGGGAGGAGGAGGAGGAGGAGGAGGAGGAGGAGGAGGAGGAGGAGGAGGAGGAGGAGGAGAGTGAGGAGGAGGAAAAGAAGAAGGTTGTGAAAAAGGGAGCAGCTAAGGAGGAGAGCAGTGAGGAGGAAGAGGAGGAGAGTGAGGATGAGGAGGAAACGAAGAAAGTTGTGAAGGAGGAGGGAAGCAGTGAGGAAGAGAGTAGTGATGATGATGAGGAGGAGGAGGAGGAGGAGGAGAGTGAGGAAGAGGAGGAAGAAAAGAAAGTAGAGAAAAAGGAGGTTAGCAGTGAGGAGGGGAGTAGTGATGAGGAGGAGGAGGAGGAGGAGGAGAGTGAGGAGAAGGAGGTTGTGAAAAAGGGTGCAGCTAAGGAGGAGAGTAGTGAGGAGGAAGAGGAGAGTGAAGAGGAGGAGAGTGAGGAAGAGGAGGAGGAGGAGGAAGAAAAGAAAATAGTGAAAAAGGAGGAAAGCAGTGAGGAAGAGAGTAGTGATGAGGAGGAGGAGGAGGAGAGTGAGGAGGAGGAAAAGAAGAAGGTTGTGAAAAAGGAGCAGCTAAGGAGGAGAGCAGTGAGGAAGAAGAGGAGGAGAGTAGTGAGGAGGAAGAGGAGGAGAGTGAGGATGAGGAGGAAACGAAGAAAGTTGTGAAGGAGGAGGAAAGCAGTGAGGAAGAGAAGTAGTGATGAGGAGGAGGAGGAGGAGGAGGAGAGTGAGGAAGAAGAGGAAGAGAAGAAAGTAGTGAAGAAGGAGGAGAGTAGTGAGGAAGAGAGTGATGAGGAGGAAAGTGAGGAGGAAAGTGAGGAGGAAAAGCAGAAAGTTGTGAAAAATGTAGCAGCACAGGAGGAGAGTAGTGAGGAGGAAGAGGAGGAGAGTAGTGAGGAGGAAAGAGGAGGAGAGCAGTGAGGACGAAGAGGAGGAGAGCAGTGAGGAGGAAGAGGAGGAGAGCAGTGAGAAGGAAGAGGAGGGGAGTAGTGAGGAGGAGGAGACAGCAAAAAAGGTAGCGGCTAAGAAGGAGCAGAAGCCGCAAGGGAAGGAGGAGGCCAAGACTCCAGAAGCTAAGGGGCAGCAGGCGCAGGCAGAGAACGGATGGCAGACGGCACCTGGCAAGGTATGGAGTGGGTGGCAGGGTATGAATTGGGTGGCATGCATGGGAGTGCTTCAAGAGTGCAGGCAAGGTGACTTCAAGGTGACTTTTGAGTCGACTCAAAAGTCACCTCGTTACAATGTCACACAACCCCTATTGGCCTTCATCGCTCTCCCTCCGTCCTCCCCTCCTCCCCTCCTCTCCTCCTCTCCTCTTCTCCTCCTTTCCTCCTCCCCTCCACCACACGGATCACTGGCAACGAGCGGACCTCTGACAGCACGTCACCTCTGACGCTGCCCCCCTTCCGTTATTCCCTACTTTTCGACCACAGATCACCGGCAACAAGCGGACCTTTGACAGCATCTCGCCAGGATCGGGCACCAAGCTGGGCAGCGCTGCTCGGGCCTTCCAGCGGGTGAAGGTGGAGGAGGTGAGTCGGCCCCTTGGCTACCTTTGGTTGAGTAGTCAGCAGCAAGGGCAGATGGTGCCAGTCAACAAGGCCAGATGATGTCACTCAGCAGCGCTGCTCGTGCCTTCCAGCGGGTGAAGGTGGAGGAGGTGAGTCAGCACCCCCTGCTCCTCATTTCCTAAACCCCAAAACCCTGACTCTGGATACCAAGCTGGGCAGCACTGCTCGCGCCTTTCAACGAGTGAAAGGTGGAGGAGGTGAGTCAGCAACCCCCTGCTCCTCGTTCCTTAAACCCAAACTCTGGCTCGGGAGTGCAAGCTGGGCAGCGCTGCAAGAGCCTTTCAGCGGAGTGAAGGTGGAAGAGGTGAGAGAAGAGGTGAAAGAGCAGCCACTTTCGTCTCTGGCTGATGCTCACTTGGGTACGGCAGAAGTCGTGGAGCAACCAGCAAAAGCCAGCGGTACGCAACCAACCGCTGCTCTTATCCCCCAATCGCCTAAGCTGGGCAGCGGTGCTCGGGCCTTCCAGCGAGTGAAGTGAAGGTGGAGGAAGTGGAGGCTCGTGCTTCCTCCTTTTCCCTACATTGTCCTTGCACGGGGGAGCCAGTGAGGGCAGGAGTGGAGCAGAGCAAGCAACCCCCTCTTCCTTCCTCAACCCCTGTTCCTCAAGCCCTAGTAACAGCACTCCTTATCCTTTCATGGGGAGCCAGTGAGGGCAGGAGTACAGTAGAGCAAGCAACCCTGGCTGTTCCTCAAGCCCTAGTAACGTCCCTCAGACTGCTCTCACCCTTTGCTTTTCCCTTGCCCGCTGTCTCTGCTGGCCTTTCTCCTCTCTTTGTCTCCTCTCACCTGCTGCACCCTCCCCTCTGTACCCCGCTACCTGTCGTCCCAGGTTCAATTCAAGGACCCCCGCCTCATGGATAACTCCTACTGGGCCAAGGTGAGGGGTGAAGCTCGCAAACTTTGCACGGTGGGCCATGAGCAGTGGACAGCCAGGTTGCTGTGCCATGAGCAGTGGACAGCCAGGTTGCTGTGCCATGAGCAGTGGACAGCCAGGTTGCTGTGCCATGAGCAGTGGACAGCAGGTTGCTGTGTCATGAGCAATGGACAGCCAGGTTGCTGTGCCATGAGCAGTGGACAGCCAGGTTGCTGTTCCATGAGCAGTGGACAGCCAGGTTGCTGTGCCATGAGCAGTGGGACAGCCAGGTTGCTGTGCCATGAGCAGTGGACAGCCAGGTTGCTGTGTCATGAGCAATGGACAGCCAGGTTGCTGTGCCATGAGCAGTGGTTGGTTTGATTCACTTCAACGACCCCCGGCTCATGGATAACTCCTACTGGCCAAGGCGAGTGAGCAGGAGTGACATGGGCGTGACTGTATAACACGTGAATAATGTGCCCCCCCCCCTCCCCCCCCCGCCCTGTGCTTTGGCCTGATGTGCTTTATGTGGGTCACCTGCCTTATGCTTTATGTGCCTATGTCACTCCCCTGATTAGTGTGCTTTATGCGGGTCACCTGCCTTATGCTTTATGTGCCTATGTCACTCCCCTGATTAGTGTTGCTTTATGCGGGTCACCTGCCTTATGCTTTATGTGCCTATGTCACTCCCCTGATTAGTGTGCTTTATGCGGTCACCTGCCTTATGCTTTATGTGCCTATGTCACTCCCCTGATTAGTGTGCTTTATGCGGGTCACCTGCCTTATGCTTTATGTGCCTATGTCACTCCCCTGATTAGTGTGCTTTATGCGGGTCACCTGCCTTATGCTTTATGTGCCTATGTCACTCCCCTGATTAGTGTGCTTTATGCGGGTCACCTGCCTTTATGCTTTATGTGCCTATGTCACTCCCCTGATTAGTGTGCTTTAATGTGGGTCACCTGCCTTATGCTTTATGTGCCTATGTCACTCCCCTGATTAGTGTGCTTTATGCGGGTCACCCTGCCTTTATGCTTTATGTGCCTATGTCACTCCCCTGATTAGTGTGCTTTATGCGGGTCACCTGCCTTATGCTTTATGTGCCTATGTCACTCCCCTGATTAGTGTGCTTTATGCGGGTCACCTGCCTTATGCTTTATGTGCCTATGTCACTCCCCTGATTAGTGTGCTTTATGCGGGTCACCTGCCTTATGCTTTATGTGCCTATGTCACTCCCCTGATTAGTGTGCTTTATGCGGGTCACCTGCCTTATGCTTTTATGTGCCTATGTCACTCCCTGATTAGTGTGCTTTATGCGGGTCACCTGCCTTATGCTTTATGTGGCCTATGTCACTCCCCTGATTAGTGTGCTTTATGTGGGTCACCTGCCTTATGCTTTATGTGCCTATGTCACTCCCCTGATGTTTCTCAAACAGAGTGGGGCTGGAAGTGGCTGGGGCGCCAAGGCACAGGAGATTCTGGGCCAAGTCAGGGGCAGGTGAGAACAGCAGAGACGTGTCAGGGGCAGGTGAGAACAACAGAGACATGTCAGGGGCAGGTGAGAACAACAGAGACATGCCAGGAGCAGGTGAAAACAACAGAGACATGCCAGGAGCTGGTGAGTACAAGAGAGACATGCCAGGAGCAGGTGAAACAACAGAGACATGCCAGGAGCAGGTGACAACAAGGGAACGCTTCAGTGACTGGAGGGAGGTATGTGGTGTCAGTGCTGTCATGCCATGGTACAGTCTGATCGCCTTCTGGTTGACTTGCGCTTGAGATGTCCTTTCGTGACTGCACATTGGGTGATCGTTGGGTCGTCAAAGCACTGTACTACTTAAGGAGAGTTCTAAAAAAATCACCTATTTTATTGAGGTGCGTCGATATACATACAGTCTCATCACCATTCTGGTGTTGACTTCCACTTGGTGTGCTCTTCTTGACTGCACGTTGCAGGGGGTTCCGGCACGAGAAGACCAAGAAGAAGAGGGGCAGCTACAGGGGCGGCGTTATCGACCAGCAGAGCCATTCGATCAAGTTCGCTGACTCCGACGACGAGTGATCAACGGTATTGTGGAGCCTTGCAGATGTGCCTTGGAGTATTAGTTGGGACACATAGAAGGGTGCTTACAGTGTGGCACTATGGGTCTCACTCTGTCAGGTTTGCCATTTTGGGTCTGGCCGTTCGGATGGTGTTAGGCATTGATGGAGCAGTGATGTGTGGTGGAGCTGGTAAGATCAATGCCTCCTCTCAGCATAGTAGTGTCAATGAAAGCATGCACTCAATATCTAGGGGTCGTTTTGCATCCAGTTTTGGGCAGCTCTATATATGGTGCTCTTTGGTTGGACCTTGCGTGAATGGGGATTTTGTTATTGTGTTGCACACTATTGATTTCCTTGATTATGTGAGAGATACAGTGCATACACTGTTTTGTAATTATGCTTGGAAAAGAGGGTAAGGCAGACAAACTGACTCCTAACCTAGGGCTGCAGTGCACTGCAGCACTTGCCAAATGCCTTGGACTCGTGCGAACGTGTAAATGATGTGCCGCTCCACGACAAAATTCAAGTTTTGCCTGAAACGCATCATGCACAAGGGGGTGCTTGTTGTGGGGCACCGCCCGCCAGCAGACACCAGGGCTTATTTTTCACAGGCAACTCTCCGGATTTTGGGAAAATAACGGGTGATTTGGGCCAAGGCTTACGCTGGAAGGGTAGCTACCCTAAATGTCGAGAAAATTAAGAGTTGTCTGGACCCTGAACCCGGATTTTAACAGGCTGGGTTCTGCCGTATCTCTGAATTTGGCCGAATCATTGAGCCTTGGAATTCGGATGCATTCCGTGACAGGTTTTCATGAAACCTGACGGACTAGTCTCGCAGCATGGCGTTCAGCAAGGAGAAAATCCCTCCACCACTGCGTGGAGAAAAATCTCCGTCACGAACATCAAGGATGATTTCGGGTTTGGGACTTAGCTTTCATTTCAAATTGCTCCGTCAGCTGTGCTCCAAACATTTGACTAGAAGGCAGAAATGCCCTTCCGCTTAGGCAGAGTTACCGCTCGGAGAACTCGGAAGGATTCCAAGTGAAAGCCCCTTGGATTCCGGAAAATTCTGGGTATGATTGGACCATAACTCAGCACCTTCCGAAACTCCCTGGGGCCTAGCGTAAGCCCTGATTTGGAAGTGTTCGTTTTCCGTGGAGCCGGATTCTGACGGGTTCGTTTTTAGCAGTACCCGTAAAGTGACGTGTTCGTTTTACGAAGTACCCTGATTTGACGGGTTAGCCTCTGGCAAAACGGATCTTAGCCTTACCAAACCTCTCTACACCCCGCCCCCAATAACTGTCCCCCCTACTCCTTCCCCCCCGTGCCCTACCCCTCTCGCCTTCCCCTCCCCTGCAAAACACATAAGTGGAGTCTCTTCTTTTTTCTCACAGAACCTTTGAACTGGAACATTTCGACGCTACGAGAATCTCCCCGATCTGACGTGTTGTTCTCGTTCCCACCCGGATGGTGACGTGTGGCTTTTAAGGTACACCCGTGAGATCCGGGTTTCAAATGAGGGGTACCCGGATCTGCCGTGTGGGCAAAAACCCAAAGGTAAGCCCTGGCACACACCTGCCACGCCGTTTGCCAGGCTTGGTTCTCAGTTAATGCGAGCACGGACAAACTCCAACAACCTGACTGTTGTTGAGGATAACATCGCGATGTAGGGTTACGTTTCGAGAAGGGGCTCTCGGTCTTCGTGATTTGTCGTAGAGAAGGGTTACCAATCGAATCTCGAGTGGCACCTTCGAAGGTGGGTGAAGTTATCGCAACACCTATCAGATTCCAGGGCGTGTATCCATTTGATCTTACAAAACAGTTCACTTCGGGCTTGCCTTCTGAATTTACACTTCTGACCGAACCGGCATGCTGAAGTGGATCTGCTTTCGAAATAGGGTCTAGTACAGCTGCAATCCCGACTCTTTTAGCTCCTGCCAAGGCACATTGCTGCAATTTTCTGGAGCAGAAACGCTTGATTTCGTGTGTGAATACGTCCCACACTGCTCATTGTGGCTGGGCGGGATGAGTGTACGGCAATCCCAGTGGAGCCACTGATGGGAGGATGCATGGAGAGATAAGCCAAGGATAATTCTGACTTCCTGCTAGAAACTGGTAGATGAATAGCTTCAAACAATTGCGTGACTCGCGTCAGTGCGTGTCGTAAGCATAAGTCGGGGTCCCGCACTGCTTACGTATAGCGTAGTACGTAGCACAAAGAGGGTAGTCTTATTTCTCGCTCCTGAGACGAGACTTTCTGGCCTGACCGCGTGGTGCCGTACTAATAATCCGAGGACCAAAGATTGAGCTATGGCCACTTAGTGCTAATGCGTTACTGGATTAGCGACCATGACGTATCAATGGCAAAGCGAGTGGTAACAGCGTCGGAGTATTTCAGCCTCGAGTATTGAATCTCTTGAATAAGCTACCTTGCGTGTTACTTTGTTACATTTGGTTGTCATAATGTCGAAGCGAGTCGTAGCAGTACCGCGGTACTCCAGCCTCGACTCGGGGGGGGACTTCCGCCGAACACGCTCCCAGGGGGCTCCGCCCGCAATAGACTCGCGGAACTGTTCCGCGGACACGCGCACGTCGTCCGCCGATATGCGCAACTCCCCGCGGATATGCGCGGATCCCCCGCCTTTCCGAAAGCTCATAGCGGAACCGGTCAGGGTCACCCCCGGGGGCAGAATCAAGGCCAGGGCCAGGGACCAATCAGAATGAGCCGATCGCGGAGCCACCAATCAGCTTCCGACGACTGCCCGCAATTCTCGGCTCAAGAACTGGCGGAAATGGAGCACGAGATCGCAAGATCGACGACGAAAGTCGTCGCCTGGTTTTCGCAGATCGGAATGCGACGGTGCTGACGTGTACTTCATCCCTCCGCCTGGAGCAATCCCATTCGACAATGTCGGTGGATTGGACCCGTCACTAGTCAAGCCTGCCACGTCAGCATTCCCAGGATCCTGGGGCACAGGGAGCGGCGCGTCAGCCAAGGGATTGCCGCCACGTTGGACGGAACATGCGGCTGAGAAGAGCTCAGGATATGGGCGAAATCCCAACTCCCACTCGCAGGATTGGGGGGGTGGCAAGCCGCCCCCTCCTGTGGACTCCAAGAAAGGTACTCCCTGTAAGAAAGCGAAGGAGAAAGGCCGGGGAGAGGGCGGGCCTAGCGGGAAAGGTGGAAAGGCGGGGGGAGGCGGGCGAGGCGGGAGGAGGCGACCCGCAAGGCGAAAGCGCTCCTAGAGACGTCTGTAGAAAGGAAATTAGTACGGTCTAAGAGCGCTGTGGGTAAGCCCCAGCAGGCGGGGAGAGGAGGCGCGGGGGGAGGCGGGGTGGGGGGGCAGAGCCCCAGGGGGGGCGCAGCAGGGGGAGCAATGGGGGAAGGCGGGGAACGGGAGGGGAGGGGGAGGCGGAGGCGGCGGGGGGAAGGGGAAGAGGCGCGGGGAGGAGGGTGATGGGCTAGGATTGCGGAGGTCCCACTCGGAGGATCAGAAGGGGCTGCATGTGGCGGAGGGGGTGTATGCCAAGGCGATGAAGCTGCTTCCCAAGGGGTTTAAATTCGGGCGAGACAGCTCTGTGACTACCGCGAGCAGCGGGGATGGTGCTAGAGGGGGGCAGGTGACGCCTAGGAAGAAGAAGCAGCAGCAGCCGCAGCAGCAGCAGGCGCCCTTGTCGCCGCGGCAGCAGGCGCCATTTTCGCCGCAGCAAGCAGCAGAGGAATGAGGGTTGGAGAAGAGGTAGCAGGGATGAGGAGGAGGGGGGGGGGAGGGGAGGGGGGCGAGAGGAGGAGAGAGGGGGAGGGGAAGAGACGAGGAGGAGAGTGAGGATGGCGGATGGCGGAATGAAGAGAGAGAACGGGAGCAGGAGGAGGGGAGAGTGCAGGAGGAGGAGGAGGAGGAGGGAGGGGGGAAGGAAAACCGAGAGGTGTATGGAGAGGAAGGGGAAGAGGGAGCAGAGGAGGAGGGAGTGGAGGAGGGAGAGGAGGAAGTGGGTTACCGGAGGAAGAACCAGGGAAGGAGAGAAGGGAGGAATATGGGGGAGGAGGAAGAGGAAGAGGAGGGGAGGAGGAGAAGAGGAGGAGGAGGAGGAGAGCGATGGCGAGAGGGACAATAGAGGGGAAGGGGCTTCAGCCTTCGGCAAGGGAAGCAGAGGATTGGGCAGGGCCAGTCACGCGGCGACAGCTGGCAACGGACGACCTGTACGGCGAATTTGATGACGATGATGATGATGATGAGGGTGAGACGTCTCCTTTCAAATCGCGTTATAACGAGGATTTTCTCAGGCAGGATGGCGGGACGAGATGGGGAGTCTGCTGAGCGTGACTCCGAGGTCGGATGGGGGATGGGAGGAGTATGGGGAGGAGGAGGCGAGGGAGGGGAGGGAGGGGGAGAGGGGGAGAGAGGGAAAGATGAGAGGGAGGAGGAAGAGCAGGGGGGAGAAGAACAGGTGGAGGAGGAGGGGGATGTTTTTCCTGTGGCCACGCCCCCTGCAATTAATTTGAGTCACGGAAGCAAAGGCCGGACCAGCGATTGCAGCAGCAGCAGCAGGTGGGGAGGAGGAGGTGAGGGAGAGGGAGAGGGATCTATGGGAGGAAGAGGAGGACAAGTAAGGATGAGGAAAAGGGGATGCGTGGCGGGAGGCTGCGTTTTGAGGCGCCTCAGATAGAAAGGGATGTGTGGGGGAAGACGCTCCTCAAGCGCCTTTAAAGGAGAGGGACGTTTGGGAGGAGCAGCAGGAGAAGGACGAGTGGGAAGCGGCAGCAGGAGCAAGAGCAACAACAACAGCAAAGGCAGCAGCAACACGAGCCAGCAAGTGGCAGCGAAAGCAGCAGCAGCAGGCACAAGCGGAGAGAGATGGCTTTTCCAGGAGGAATGGGTTCAGGGAGAGAGGCTCTGGCGCTTATAACGAGGACGACTGCTACGCTGCCGCTAATGATGAAGGTTATAACGAGGACGACGTTTACAATGACAACGAGACTTTTGGTAGGAACAGGGATTACACTGTGACCAAGGGTTACAATGAAGACGAGATGTACAGTAACGAGGATGTGGGAAGAGTGAGACGAGGAGAGGAGAGAAGAGGAGAAGGGGAGGGGGAAGAGGAGGAAGAGGAGGAGGAGGATGATGACGATGATGATGATGATGATGATGATGTTGCAATTGCTGTTGCCACCGATGCCATTGCTGTTGATGACAACGGGCACGTGCAGGGTGGGGGAGGAGGGACCCTTACTCACATGCCCGAGGTTTGGAGGAGCAAGGCGGAGAGGAGGAGGGGGAGAGGGGATGGGAGGAGGAGGAAGCGGAGGAGAAAAGGCACTCTTGGCGGCAGCAGGCAGGGGGCCGAGTGGAGTATGCGGGGATCATGGTGCTGAATTGAGTCCGGAAGGCATTGGAGACGGAGCGAAAGGGAAGGTGAAGAAGGGGAGAGCGAAGGCTGAGAAGCCCAAGAAACCCAAGAAGCAATCTAAGGAGGAGAAGGAGAAGAATGTGAAAAAGGGGTTGAAGGGGGGGAAGGGGGAGAAAGGGGGGGAGAAGGTAACGAAGACAAAGAAGAAGCAGCAAGGGCAGCAGCCGCTGCAGCAGGAGCGGGGTGAAGGGGAGGTTTTTGACCGTCAGATGGAGCAGTACAAGCGATCGCAGTCGTTGGATCACGGCACACATGCCGCCCAGCTGGCATCTGCTGGGGACCATCCTCTGCCGCACAACCTCAGCTTCGTGTCCCCCCCACACCACCACCCCAATCATGTGTCGCCATCCAATCATCCCTACCCGCCGCCCAACCATGTCTCCCCACCGCATCTTGCTCCCGTGCAACACCATGCATCGCTGCCTAATCGCATCTCGCCACCCCAGTACATGTCCTCGGCCAATCACACATCTCCACCTCATCATGGCATGGACCATGGGTTAGGGCGTGGAATGATGGGGACCGATGTCAGCCATGGGTTGGGGCAAACGCACAGGCCAACGCATGGGCCAATGCACGGGCAAACGCACGGGCCAAGGCACGGGCAGCATCAAGGGCACCACATGCGGCAGAGCGTGGGTGAGGAGGAGGAGGAGGAGGAGCACGGTGGTGGTGATAGAAGGGAGAAGGACAGGTGGCGCAACGTGATTGGGCGGCCGTTGGAGCGGGTGGAGGAGAGATACGAGATGGTGGGCGAGGTGGTGGGGCGGGGGTACTTTGGGGACGTGGTGGCGTGTAGGGAGCGGCGCACGGGCGAGTACATGGCGTGCAAAGTGATCAAGAAAGACAACATCATGGTAAGGGGAGCCTCTATGTCCAAGAGTACAATATGGGGAGGTGGTGGGGAGGGGTGGGGGTACTTTGGGGACGTGTGGTGGCGTGCCGGGAGTGGCGCAAGGGCGAGTACATGGCATGCAAAGTGATCAAGAAAGACAACATCATGGTAAGGGGAGCCTCTATGTCCAAGAGTACAATATGGGGAGGTGGTGGGGAGGGGCGGGGGTACTTTGGGACGTGGTGGCGTGTAGGGAGCGGCGCACGGGCGAGTACATGGCGTGCAAAGTGATCAAGAAAGACAACATCATGGTAAGGGGAGCCTCTATGTCCAAGAGTACAATATGGGGAGGTGGTGGGGAGGGTGGGGGTACTTTGGGACGTGGTGGCGTGCCGGGAGCGGCGCACGGGCGAGTACATGGCATGCAAAGTGATCAAGAAAGACAACATCATGGTAAGGGGAACATCATGGTAAGGGGAACATCATGGTAAGGGGAACATCATGGTAAGGGGAACATCATCGTAAGACTAGCGTTGGAGTGAGATGATCATTGGAGTGAGACGATCATTCGGTTAAGCATAATATTCGATCATTCGGTTACGCATAATATTCAGGAAAGAGCATTCTTCTAAGCCTGTCACTTTTCCTGCTTCCTACAAAGTGATTCTGGCATCTACTACCCTCTTCTCGTCTCAGCCCCTTCCTGGCATTAAAGCCCGACCGGCAGGTTGCATATTGACACTGTTGAGGTAGGTGGGGCGGCAAACTGTGATTGGCTGACCAAAGGAAAGTGAGGCAAATTTTTCAAGAGAGGGTTGGGCTTCGCCGAGCGAGCTTCAGTTTCACGCAAGCAAGCAGCTTCACAAATTGGCAGAGCTGTCAACTTTCTCGCCTCTCTGTTCTGCAGCGATCCACCTCGCCAGCTCTGCCAAGTTTGCGGGGCGTGAGCTGGTTGGATTTTTTTGGGTCAAGAAACATCCGGGCAGAACATTTCAGGAACAAAATACGGATGTTATATTTTGCCGAGAACAGGTAAACGCATCTCCGAAATTCGTGGTACAAACAAAAGGGCTACAAGACTTTTTTCCGGGTGTACCCGCCCTGCCAAGCCCTGTCAGCCCTGCCAGGCCCAAACCCATTGCCAGCTCTTGGCAGTCTGACGCTGGCTGCTCGGTTACAAGGACCTCAAGATGCAGCATCTTGAGAAAAAAGGAGTTGCAACCTGCCGGTCGGGCTTTAGAAGCCCTTGCTGCATTTCTTGCTTCCCTTGTGCAAACTTGTGTATCTCGATATGTCTCTGCACGAATTGGCATGTCATACCATGGCATTCTGTGTGAGCACGGCATGGCATGGCACGGCATGGCATGGTGTGGTGTGGCATGGCATGGCATGGTGCATGCATGGTGCGTGGCGCAACAGAGCGAGGACGATGCGGAGGACATCACGAATGAGGTGGCGGCGCTGGAGACAGTGAGAGGGCATCCGCACATCGTGCAGCTTATGGAGACCATCGAGGACGAGGAGGTGAGAGATGGAAGTGATTATAGTGGGGTTGCTTCTGAGTCGTCTCTGGAGACAGTGAGAGGGAAACCACACCGCTTACACTTGATGGAGACAATTGAGGACGGGGTGGGTGTGTGATCAACGAGCACAACGTGCAGAGGGCGCTGAGATAGTGAGGGGGCACCCGCGCATCGTGCAACTCACGGGGAAGGGTGCTAGGGGTGGTTGTGATGATACAGATATGAGGTTGCTTTGAGTAAACTCAAAAGACTGTGAGAGCACACCCGCACATGGCGCAGCTCAGCTCATGGGGACAGTCGAGGACGAGGAGGTGGGTGCACTTTGTCCCTCACCTGTGTTCCCCGCTCATCTCCTATCTCACCACTCCTTTTGAGTCGACTCAAAAGCACTTTGCCCCTCACCTGTGTTCCCCGCTCATCTCCTTCCTCACCTCTCCTCAACGCCCCAGCCCAGCCCCCAACCCCTTGAGGACATCCATCGCATCCTGGATCTCTGTGAGGGCGGCACTCTGCAGCAAGCCGTGAGCAAGGAGGGGTCCTTGAGCGGGAGGCGGGCGGCAGCAGCGTGCAGAGGGATGGGGCAGTGATAGATAGCAGCCATGCGCCCACCGTACCGTAACCCATGCAATCCCTTGCACTGTTCCCCCCTTCAGGCCACCCATCTCAGGCATTGGAATGTGCTTCTCTCTTCAGGCCACAGGCATTGGAATGTGCTTCTCTCTTCAGGCCACAGGCATTGGAATGTGCTTCTCTCTTCAGGCCACAGGCATTGGAATCCATCTTCAGGCCACGTCCTCCTCTCCTTCCCACCACCTATGCCTTCAGGCCATCTTTTGAGTCGACTCAAAAGTCACTCCTTCCTCTCCTCTCAATCCCTTGCACTGCTCTCCCCCTTCAGGCCCATCCA